AAAAAAAAAAGTCACAGGCCATCATGTGTTGGAAATAAAAGTAACTGAACTGCCAATAAGTACTGACACCACACCCAACTTCTAAAAAAATTATTTTACATAATTTCAAATTAATAAAAATAATACAGAACAGAGGCATGCAGCTGAGAACGAAATGCAACCTCATGGGCCTCTCTTACTAAATATTATATAGGTCAAACCATAACCGTCAAACCTAACCTTCATTTTGATCTTAGTCAGACCAGGGATTTCCCCCTCGTATACAATATTGCAGTGTCCCATCAAAAGGTTTTCTCCATTATTCAATGCCATACTGATAAAAATTATTTTTCAACATTTCAATTTACTCTATCTTGAAATAATGGCCACAAATAAAAGACACCTCATTTTTCTAGCCAGGGGAAAACCGTGTACACACCTGTAAAGTTTTGTGGCTATTTCTTGTACAGTTGTGATACTGTCACACTGACAAATCCTGTCCTGAACACCAGGCAAAGAACCTAAAACCGTTTTGGTGGTAGTTCCCCCTACATGACCTGTCACTGGGAGCACATTTCTTTAGCATTATGACTCGCGCACAGAGATTCTCACAGTGAAAACAGTACCAGACAAACTACTGCAGCTGCTAAACATAGGTGACAGTCACCCAGCCGGCACTTTCTCACCAATTAGCACTGTTGGCAGCACTGATATATTTTTTTGTTTCAGTTCCTACCTTCAGGCAGGAGCTTCACAACCATCCATGCATGCACAAACAAACAAGCTGAAACACAGCTTTTACCCGTGACATTGATGAACACAGCCTGTCAATACCATATCAATAATCTTAGTGTAAAGTAAAGCATTTTTTTTATTTAATAATTTTACAGTTGTGTTGCTACTTATGCACGTGCACCATCAGTAGTTGTCCTTTTGTTGCACTTATGCCAAAATAAATATAAAAAGGTCTTAAATCTTATATCTGATTGCTTTCCCAAATTTTCATATGGCAGTCTATGTATGAAAACAATGAGTCAAAGTGCTGGTGAACTAACGCGGAAGCTCAAATACAAATGAAGAGCAAAAAAACACTAAAAAAAAAAAGAAGTAAATACTGCTACTAATAAAGTATTGAGAAACAGACCAAATTTCTTAGCTCAGAGTGTCTTAATTGATGCTAGAATCACTGGACTTGGTGCCATCTTTCACACACCAAATGAACATATTGATTACAGCTCAAAGAAACTCTGCTTCATGTTTAATTTGCCAGCAACACAATTTTTGTTTCTTTTTGAGTTTTCCTTGAACTTGCAGCTACCTGCAGCCTGTTCTGCAAAAAGGTACCAAAGTGAGTGAAAAGAATACTCTCGTTCTGACACCTTGCCTGCATGATATCAGGGAAACGACACACAGCACAAGCCTGCAAACACAGTCACAATACCCGCAAACATACACACAGGGCCATTTAAGGACATCAGCTTTTAAAACCAAACCAGTCTCTTTCCACTGCCCTCAACTACACACTGTCATTCCCAAGAAAACAAACACACCACTGCTGTTAATCTGCTTTCGTAGTAACCCCAGCAAATAAGGAGCGGGAGAAGGCCACATGCCACAGAAAACATGCTCCTCTATGACATCACTGCATCACTCACCCTCTACAGCCAAAGGTATGTATCCATCTAAGGCTGGGAATTGGATTAGGTGGCGCCGGTAGCAAGAGCATGCAGCGAATGCAAGTCTGGATAAACTGCAAAACTTAATTTAGTGAACAGGAGGCTGTTCAGCTAAAGTACAACCTCCCAGGATCCACAATTTCCTGGTCTACTGAGATTAATCCAACAGCAACGAAGCTGTCACACAAACTGACTCAGCAGGATGGGATGACTGACAGCTGCCCTCCGTATCCTCCACCCAGTGCGGATGGTGAACATGCACACATCCGCTGGTTACGCTAGCAGCACAATACCAACTGTTGTGGGTTTTCGCTTGCTTGACAAACTACATGTTGATGAGCTACGCTGTCAAAAAAAAAGATCTACATGTGGTTTAGGGTGAGATAACAGTTGCTCCAACAGTTGCTGCTAATAGGTGTTTTTATGTGTTGAAAAGTGCTTGCTAGTGTGTTACCTCAACTAAAAACCGCAGTTCACTACACATAAGAAAAAGAAAAAAAAAGTACTAACTTTAGAGGCTGCTGACAAAAAAATATCTACAAACATTCCTTTGATCTTAGTTTAGTTGGGTCTAAGTTTGTCTTTACATGAAATTTCACCTGTAACAGATTTTCAAGTCCTGCTGTACAAGTAGCTTGGCAATTAATTGTAACTAATTAATTTGAAGTGTATCAACTTAAACTTGTCTGTAATTTCCTGTAATTACTGCCAAATTACAAACCTCACTAGGAAATTAGGAATTTACAAGCTTGTAAAATAAACGCTTACCACCAGTTACAATAAAGGGGAATTCCATGTTTTCACAGGTAACTAGAGTAAAATACTTTCTGAAGAAATTGTTTTGTGTTATCAATTAAACTAACTTCATTCAAGAAATAAAGACAGGTGTCAAAGAGTTTTTAGCTGCACTCACCGATCACTCTTCTCTTACAAAAACATGAACTAACATAAAATAACCCAATAATCCAATAATCAAGTTATACAACTCTCTTTTTTTTTTTCTTATCTCCTAACTACAACCTTAAATGCCCCCATGAGTCAGAGCAAAACTGCAGCCAGGCACACAAACTCTGTGACTTAATTATGACAAAGACCCGTAACTGACAAGCCTTGTCAGCTGAATGCATCTGTGTTACTGGGGCCCTGACCTGTAACCACATCCTCTTTCCTAAGCGCAAAAAGGCTTCATGCTGATAGGATGGAAAAGGAGTAGCTACCTACTAAAATAACCTCTTCCAGTCTCTGTTCCTGTTCAAGAATCCTGACAGCAGGCTGGCTTGCTTACTAAGAGGGAGAGTAGGGGTTATTGGCATAGATGGCATCTTTAAAGTCAGGTTCAGGGAAATGTGTAATTTCAACAAAGAAAAAGTGAAATAAAGTACCCTTGAGGCAGTGCGCCTCTTTGTAAAAAGGGCCGATTAACTGGGAAAGTGACCTGCTGTGTGTTTACAGTTTCAAGGATGGGGCACACACCTTTCCTGCTTCACATCTCTCCCCCTGAAGCAGAAATAATATGCGATAGGCTGTCACGAAGCTTGGAGTCAGACAAGAGAAAGTAATTTGAGCTCTTTGGTTATCTCACTGTGAATCTACCTAATTTGCTTAAGGCAGCGGCATATGCTTATCACTTCAGGTCATGCCAAGTCCCTGCAATCTGTGGCTCGGACTAAACCACACAGCACAACACTGTCGATGTGTGATTATTACAACATGAGCTCCAGCAACATTAATCAAATTCTGGTCAAATCATAAGCCCGCTTACAGATAAACCCTTAAAATGGCATAATCTATAATCCACGCGAGTGAGGCCGGCATGTGTCCGCAAGCAGTCTAGTTTCAAACCAGCAACTAGCCTAAGTCCCGTTATCAAGCTTGTTAGCAAAATGCCGCTAACTAGCTAGCTTTAACTGCCTGCTGCGGGCCGCCGACACTTCACAAACCGCTAGCTGCGGCTCGTTAGCAAGCGAGCTAACTAGCCGACACATTCCCGACCTCTGCGCACTATCAAAACACAACCACCCTGTCAGAAGCCCGCCTCAAACAACCCTACCTTACTATTCCCGACCAAACAAGACGTGGCAAGCACTAAATCAAGCCACACTGCAGTGTATTTTCTCGGGAAAGCCACAGCTAACGTTACCTGCCCTTCCGTCTGGCCTTGACTAAAATGGGAGTGCACACTCCGGTATGTACTTGCGGGCAATTCCTCTCCTTTATTCGGCGAAAAAACACACACGCATACACACACAGACACACACGGCGTGTGATGATGAATTCGCTAATGGCCACGAAAGCGTCGGCGCTACGTAGTCCCGTGCAAATGACTTATTATTCGACCGCATTCAGCACGTAGTAAAGTTTGGCTTTCTGCACTTACCGTATCTTGCTCGCTGTCTCCTCGCCGCTCCGCAAGTGTCAGTTTGCCTCGGGCCCGTGCGCGCAGCAGACGTCACTCCCCGCTGATTCTCATTTTTCTTAAAAGGGCATGACACATCGGCCGCGCGCCCCGCGTCATTTGCATGATAACGGACTGCACAGTAACGCTAAGTACTAACACACTCACGTAACCTAGATTCATGCATTATAACTGTTTTATAGCAAATAACCTTTGTTGTACAATTAAGCAGTGCTCAAAGTCAAGCACTTTCTGGTTGTGAGTTATGTGAAAAATGCAAACAAATGTAAAAAACAAAACATAAAAAACAAAGTTTGTGTACAAAATAATTTCTTTTCACTAAGATTATAAATTGTGTGAGATAAAGTCTAAATCAAGTCTCAAGAGCCCCACGAAGACACTTAAATTTTATTTTAATTGAAAAGCAGTCAAAGCTGATTCTTAAAACTTTACCAGCCATCAATTATAAGACTTTAATGATTATTGATGACTTTATAGGGGGAAAAGGTCCTTGAAAGCAGTTAATATAAAAATGACCTACTCCCTTTAAAGATTGAGCCAAAGTAGAGCTGACAGCTGACACAACAAATTAACAGTAAACTAATCACCAACAAGTTTTGGGACTGATTAAGCATGCTTTGTGTGTCACTGTGTTAAAAATGTGTTTTGGCTTCCCAAAACTAAACATTATGGTTGGGAAGGTTGCTCATGATGGGTATTTTACACAATTTCCTGACCATTTATAATTACATATTTTTAAGGGAAGCTGCTGTTGCTTTCCCTATCTTTATTTATTGTTCTGGGATTTTATCAGCTTCAGAAGTAAAGTCTGAAACTTTGCCACGAGTACAGTTCTAAAAATCAAACAGCCCACTTGCCGTGCGAGCTGCATAATTGTCCCCTTTAATGTCCAGTTTCTCATCCGGTGTCCACCTGTAAATTTGCAGCACTGGCTCTAGAAGAGATAACTGGTGCGTGACACGCACATGCAAGAATGTGAGAGGAAAATGCTTCCTTATGTGTCCTTTGTAAATACATCTTTAAAGAGTCAGCTGCACCAAGCTGGGCAGGCAAAGAGGGCAAAAGTGGGGGGGTTTTGTTTGTTTTGTTTTGCAAGGAGTTCCCTCTAGTGGAGAAGCAAAATCCTGCTCTAGCTTGTAATCTACAGTCCATAAATGTATTCATAAAGCTCCAAAAGACATACTTTACAACTTATTTCTTTAATGTACCAGAGTACAATCTGTCATACAGATTTAATACAGAATACATCAATCCCTTGCTTGAGTTCTCCATTTAATATTAAATGTCTGCCTCAGTTTGTCATTAGCAGTCTTTTTCTCACTTGTGCTGAATGTAAAAACCACCATCACATAAAATAGAACAATCTGACACAACTCCTTACCATTGGAAAATAAATAAATCACTGTAAAACAAACTAAAATATTCCAGGAATGGCATCTGTGTGTCTGTGGTAAGATGCTTGCCTTCATAACTCTGAATAAAGTCAAATAATAAAAAATTTAAAAAAAGGCCAACCAAGTGTTGCTGGCCAACCCAAGCGTGACAAAAAAGGCAAATATAGATTAACATAAGTGAAAGCTTTACTGTATGTACATATAATTAATTATGTTCCATGTGTGACATATTTTTGATAGATTCAACATCTCAGATTCTCTATCAAGATACATGCAGTTTATACTGTATGTAAACAAAATAGAAAAGCACATCTCATCCTCACAACAACTCTCAGCTGTCTGTATTTTACCACAGCTAGGTGAAACAGATGCACACGACAAGCCTGACAATGGCAAAAGGCAGATGTGTACATGGCTCCTGAAAGAAGGAAAATGGTGACGTGTTTTGTCGTTCACTTCTCCGACAGTCCATAAAGTTGGGTGCACTTTCTACTGTTTGATGTGTGGTACTCTGCACCGCCATTTCTTCTTTTTAACTTCAGCAAGGAATTCACAAAAGGCCTAGAGGATAAAGAGGTGAGGACTTCCTCTCACTGATATTGTCTGTAGTCTCCAAAGGGAGAGGTGGGCATGGGAGCAGGGGCAGGTTCCTCTGCAAACTGAGGTCCTAAGGAGGAAAAAATAAAACGCAGAGTGAGATCGGTGCCAAAAGTCTAAAAGAGCAAACTGATGAATCAAAAAGACTTCCCAAAGGTCCTCAATGACATATGACGACTGAGTGTTTTTTCCCAATTATTTAAAAACAGTCACAAATTAAAATAGTCAGTTTCTTCAGAAAGCTGACTCAATCTTCAAATATTCGCATTTTGCCATAACTGTAGTATCATCACTGATAAACACTGTTTCAGAATAAATTTTATAATTTAATAATTTTTGTCCCACAATTCAAACACAAGCAGTAAAATTTAGAAAATTTGCAGAAGAATCAGATGAGATTTATCACACATATTAGACCTGATGTTTATAATCCATGCTACTGTGTGGTGACTGAATACTGTTTTCGGCAAAGCATGTGAGCAAGCTGGGGGTTGACTAACACTCCTAAAGTACAGTCAACAAAGATAAACATATCAGGTGCTGGGCAACAAGAGGTGAAGTCGCAGTACATTCAGTGTTTTTTTCTTTGCCGCAGTCATGTCATCTTTCATCTAAGTATTCTTTCACGCCTGATGGCTTCTGGTGGTTAGGTAGACTTTTATGTACAGTAATTTATCACAATGGGTGCTCGTTACATAAAACACTCTTCAGTCTCTTTCACTGAATTTATAAAAAAAATCACCAAAGTATTACTCACCAGTTGGAAGCTGTGAAGAGGCAAACCTAGTAAGCAGGATTCCAGCGCCCTCTATCAATGCCAGCAGGATACCCCCCATGGCGG